CTATCTTTCCTACTAGGTACATGGTAGGATACACCCAGCATCCTTCTGGTGATAATAATGGACGATGCATCACCAGAGTAAGATCCCCCCTCACTAGAGGGAATCTAACACATGTATTTTTCTCTTTGGTTTGTCTGCATTTAACTGTGACTTCATAACACAGCTGTGCTGCAGCTTTTCCAGGGCTTATGTCCAGAGCCTTCAATAATGGAATCTTAAAGGGGATCTGCCAGGACATCCTCCCCTTCCATTCCATGAGAAGAAGCTCCTCTTTTCTCTACAGCCAGTCACTCCGTGGACATCCCAGTGAGTTAAACCCTTGGTACTTGTTGTCCTTTCTCTGATTGGCTCCTCTTTACCCTGAACAAGTAGAAATACCTCAAAGTGGTGGCCTGTGAAAATCACTCTTCTATAATTATCAGTCTGCTCCAGGTTTTCCCTTTTTCTTGAAGTCCTTGGCTTATTTTAGCTGGTTTCTGGAAGAGGTATAATTAGATGCCTATAATGAAATAAGATGGTGGAAGACTTATCTAGGAAATCAGCAATGGATCGTAAAGCTTATTTGAGATAACACCTCTCCTGCCAGCCTCACAACTGTGATTTGAGGATGAAACGAGATGATAAATGTGAAAGGACTTTGAAGACTGCTTGAAGCATTATGCAAATATAAACTTGCTTTGTTATCTCTACATTTTATAATACCAGAAATCAGTAGCCTTGTTGGAAGCAAATTTGAGTTGCGAATTTTTTTTTTTTTGAGGAATGTGTGATAATGGAAGATGGTTATTTAGGTGAAGCACAAAGCCATTCTATTTTTATGTGTTTCGCCCCCTTCTTTCACAGAAATACATCTGAAATAGAGGTTTGTCTTGTTCTTTATCCCCCCAAAGAGAAGGCTGGCCTGAATTTCTACTTTAGACAATTCCTTTGAGTGCCAAGAGATTGTTTCAACAAAAGAAACTAATCTTCAAATAGGTCTGACCCTGTGCAATGCCTAGGATGGGGGCAAAGGCTTTAATTAAAATGGAAGAGTTGGTAATTTCTGGCCTATCTGGGCAGCTTAAAGTTGATGCGGTTTGAATGAAAGTAATGACTTTTGCTTAAAATGCAAATATTAATGCAGGAAAGAGCCTGGGATCGACTCTCTGTGCAATTGGAAGAGAATGTTATTTCTTTTTCATGCTTCTCCCTTAAAGTAATGGTCCTTTTTCTTTCTTGAAACTTTGTAATTCATACATTTAACATGTGAGGTACTTTTTATCCTCAAATTTCTCTTTATGTGACAATTTGTTTATCTTTTTGAACTTTGGAAAGCAGTGCAAATTTTAAGTATTAATAAATCTGTGAAAAAGTAATAAGGATTTGTTGTTTTTCTTGTCTGTTTGAATGACACAGAGCCAGTTTTGAATGCATGTCTTCCTCCAGCCTTTCTGGGTGTATTCTGGGAGAGCAGTGGCTTCCGTGTCCTGGTGTCTCTGTACATACACAGAAGCCAAAAGTGACCACATGGTGACAGCACAGATATTTACTGTGGCATTTGTAGGTACCAAACTGCAGTTTTAAAGGTTGAATTTGAATATATTGCCCTTGGGTTATGAAGGCTCATCTAATACTAACTATTGCAATGAGAAAAATATGCATTTTGATTTTTAATAAGCTATTAACAAGTGTAGATGGAAATGTCGTCAATTATGCCAGTACATATTAAAAACATTCCAGATCAGTGATGCTTTTTAGTAATTATAATAATTGTGAGAAAAAGTGTACTTAATGTGGAAATAATCATGACTTGAGCATTGTAAAGGTATCATTATTATGCTTATATTACAGGCAAATTTGTTATAGAAATAAAATATGAAAATCATACTCCCTCTAACCTAATAAATCTTTTTTTCTTTTCCTTTTCCACTTCTTATTGATATATTTACAGTTATACATAATTATAATCATAATATATGCACAGTATGAGTATAACATTTTAACATTTATTATGTAGAAAGTGTTTTTTCCCCCATTTCTTTGCTTACCATAAGGACATTCTATGGTCACTTTAATAAGTCTGTTATTCCACACACAGATGTCCCCCAAGTTTTTTTTTTTCCCTTCAGGTTTAGGTAATGCTACAGTGAACATCTTTGCTCCAATTTAAATTTGGCTTTCTTTTTTTTTTTTTTTTGTAGGGAATTTTTTGTTCGTTTTTTTAGAATGAATTGAAAGGGAGATTATTGTGCCAAATTTCAAGGAATTTCTGGTAGACAAGGGTAGAGAAGAGCCAGTTGGAGGCAGACATTGAAAGTGACTTGGAGATTCTTCTAGGGAAAATGTGATGCCAAAAGAAGGGAGTAGACTCAATAGTAGTGCTGTAGGTTCACGTTGACAGCCCCAGGCTGGAGTGTGCTCAAGAACAATCTGATGGGAATCTCTTTCCCTTTGTCAATCAATACAATTTGGAAGCAGCTTTAGATTGGGATTAGTCTACCTGGGAAGGTGACTTCTAACTCTCAGCGCTGAGTGGTGGGCTATCCACAGGATTTGTTCTTCCTGTTGGAAGTCAGGGTTGCCTTCTGGACAGAGAAGGCATTGCATTTGGCTCAGGCAACCTGGAGGAAGAAATGAGGGGGGAAAAGATGCCCAAGCAGAGGAGATACTCTAATGACTGTAGAGTCAGGAGGTATTTGCCAAAGCTCTGTCACTCTTCATCTATAACCTGAGGCAAGATTCCCACCTGTATTGTGATTAGACCTTCTTTCACCAACATCAGAGGTGGGGAGCTAAAGGAGTAAAACCGTCCCCAAGTGATTGAAATTGTTTATAAGCCTCACATCCCAACCTCTCATCACTAATGGCTTCACAGAAGAACATGCCATTTATTTGCCTTTTCTTTTCAGCTAATGGGCTTTTACGAGTTTTTTAAAACTGAAATTAAGTAACTGTGTGAACTTTGCCATTGCTGGAAAGTCTTTTGGAAAGAAAGGGAATACTTTAGAAAAGCGAAAAATACCAGTCACAAAACAGGTTGCATTATGAGATTTCCCATTTTGCCATAATTTTGTTCCCTAGAAATCCAGGGCTTTCAGTAGATTGATGATACAGGAACTGCAATGAGAGGTTTTTCAGTGATAACAGATGCAAAATTGAAAACCTACTTCGGCCACGTTTGAGCTCACATACTTACCACTTTATCTTTTCACCAATTACCATCTGTGTGCACTTTTTCACCAGCCCAGGCTGCGTCCATATTCAGCATTTTTCAGGTTTTTAAATGTTTTATTTTTTTCATTCTTTTGAATGCAGCAGCATTTCTAGTATTGCTACAACCTCCAAAAAACCCAACAAAATGGTAGAAATCATACAAATCTTAATAATCAACATGTTTTTTTTTTTAAAGCTAGTCTGTACTGTGTCAAATTCAAAACTTGCAGAAGATGAGAAATAATGTTGAATCCTCTGTCATCCATCCACACAGATCTTATTTCTCTGTCCTATCAATTCTTTTTCAGGCAAAAAAGAATGACTCCAGATAATCTCGATTACAACCTACTATGGAATGTTGAAATGGCCACAAGTGTTGACAACATATTTCAAATCACACTTTAGTACTTTTATACATCTCTAAAAACTTCTCATTCGATTAGCCCTTTTAAACCCATTTAAAGGCCTTAAAAGTGTCTAGGGACTGTTTAGAGAAGCCTTCTTGCTTAAAGCAGAATAAAGGAATTAAAAAAAGTGATGAATGAGGAAAGCCAGGCACAAAGGATTTACAATATATCCTGTAAACAAGATGCAACTTGCTGTGTGTTCTCTAAAAATCGCTCTGCCTTTGTGGCTAATCCATAAAAGTAAACCATCATGCCAGAGATTGGATAGAACTCAAGTGTAAATAAAGGCAAAGTGGAACAAAGACCTTGAAAAGAAGAACATAAAGAAAAGAGAAAGAGGATTGGAATTAGCTAGGAATGGATTCACTGTTTGGAATTGATTAGCATTATGCAAATCACAATTTTTCAGATATACTGTCTGATTTGATTCTCATAGCAACCCTAAAAGTATTATTGTATTCATTTTGTACCTGGAAAAAGTCTCTTTGGATTATAAACACTTTCCAGTCAATGATTGGTCCAGCATTACACAGCTAGAGAGTGGTAGAGCTGAAACTGGGATTTTGAACTTCTGGAGTACTTTTATATTGCTATTTCACTCTGCCATCCTGCCTCAGGGAGAACTTGCAAGTGAGAACTGCAGTGTTCTTCAAAATGATGAAAGGTGGGTTCTCAGTTAAGCAAAGGAATAGAGGAAAGATGAAGCTGAGCAAGGATTAGTTTCTCCATGACAATCTTGGACCAGTTAGCACAGCCAGAAATCCACAATCCCATGAGTCCCTGAGAGGTGGGTGTTCATTTGTTCACCTGCTTCTGCTTGCTCCCAGGAATCTTGGGCTCTGATCAGTTCCCAGACATGCATACAATATCTTTTATTTGCTCATGATAGGCCTCACAGGGTTATTCTTGATAGCTGGTTAATGAGATAAGACTCTGGTTTGGGAGAACCAGAAGAAAGGGCTTTTGGGGGTGGGGGCATTGTTGTGCCTATCAGGCACCCATGGAAGCCTCAGCCCTGATCCCTTAAGGTAGGACAGCCAGAGTGAGTGAGAAAATCCCCTTGCCTCTTTTCATTACAATTAATCCTTGTTATTTTTCCTCTGCTTACCTGTTTTACTTTTGAAGAAAATTGGAAATACATTATTCACTAGAGGCTAAACAATCTCAGTGCTTTTACCTTTCTTCCTTAGTGTGTTTTTAGTTATCCTGAAATTATATTTGTTTTACGACTTCAGGCAAGTCACTTAATCTATCTGAAACTATATCCTACATAACTCACAAGAGCATGCCGAAGTGTTCTCTGCTGAAAGTACCTCTTTGCATTTGTGGTCACTGGCTATGTTTCAAAGAATTTAAAATTCCTTCTCTTTTACAATATCTCTTTCTCCCTTTACTTGCCAGAGTCGAAAACATGCAAGCAAAGTCCGACTGTATTACATGCTTCACCCCAGGGACGGTGGGTGTCCTGCCAAGAGGCTCCGGTCAGAAAATGTGAGTATCTGGTACCACTTGATATCCTTAGATGATTTGTTCTGTTTGCTAAGGACTTTGCAAGTATAGGAATTATGGTCACATCCAGATTAGTAGCAAAGCTAAGTAGAAATAGTTCTTATGAAATATTATACAAAATAATGCATATAAGCCAGTCTTGTTTGGTTGTTTTTGCTTTCCTATAAGAACTTGCCAACTTTGGAGGACTTTCTGATGACATTGCACTAAGTCCACAGGGAGGCAAAAGGTGCAGAGGTCCTGGGACAGACCAAGGCTGGGTGATGAGAGACAGGGCATTGAAGTTCAAAGTGTTGGGAAAACAAGACCTAAGGGGCAAACCTGTCAGAAATATTAGATGCTTGCTTTTTACATGTTTTGTTTTCCTCTGCTGTGTACAACAGAATGTCAGTTTGTTAATTTATAATGAAGACTGTACATATCTTGCAAATAAAATACTCGGGCTTTGACAAATGACAATTAGAAAGTTGCTTTGAGGGTATAAAGTCAGAGCAAAGGGTTTATTTCAGCAAGGCTAAGGCAAAGACTGATGAAATAAACATTCCTTCCTCCCAGGGGTTATTTTTCCTAATGAGTGGAATATTCATATGTACCAGCTGCAGAGGCCCTTCATGATAAACACTGTGGATTAAACACAAAAATTCCTTACCCTTTGAGTGTGGAGGAGGCTGCAGCCAAAGAACTGTTATCCCTTGCTATCAATTGCACTTGTGATCCTGTTTCATAGATGCACGTCCTCTTTTCCCATTAAGAATTAATATAGGACCATTGAAGAAAGTTTAGAAAACATGGACTTGAGGATTTTTGAGAGGAGAAAATAAAATTAAAAAAAGAAGAAGAAGAAGAAGAGAATTGCATGTAACCAAAGGTTACGAGATGAACATCAGGGCTGGTGTTTTTAACAAATTCCAAGCACGCCTCTCAGTGTCACAAAATGAGCTGTTCATACACAGACTCATCTGGAACACTGTGAAGCTGCTTTTAGCGTCAGGGTGAAATAGCATTTAGAGCTCATTGGAGGCAATGATGTCATGAAAACTCCTCAGCTGCTGAGTTAGGACTGAATCTCACTCCACTCTTAGCTTGAGCACCTTGGGCAAATAATTGATCCTTGGAGCCTTTAGTTTCCTCAATCTGCCTATAATAATCATACTTTCCTCACTGGGCTTTTATGTCTTTTAAATGAAATGGTAAACGTGAGGTGCACTATGCAATGAAGAAACAGGTAAATAAGACACAGAATTGCCTTAAAGAAATTCATAGTCTAGGGAAGGAGATTAACATTGTATCAAAAAAGAAGCTATGATCGCACAGTGTAAGTACTAATTAACAGTCTGCACAAAGAACCATGGAGACAAAAGGCAAGTGAATAATCATGCTAAGCCTGTAGGGTGGGGATGTAGCACAGCAGTAAGTGCTTACCTATCACGTGCTAGGTCTTGAGTTCAATCCCCAACACTGCAATGCTGAAGAATTGACAGTTGCTGCCATCCTTGGGTGTGAATGGGTTTTACCAGATGGAGGAGGGCAGTAAGGACGAGGAGGAAGGTTACTGATTTCTCAGGTGTGTTTCTAAAAACAAACAAAAAACCACCAAACCAAACCAAACCAAACAAAAAAGCTTGATAAACTGCAAGAGAGTAGATACACCAGCTTTCCTGAAATCTCAGAATCCTGTCTCTATGGTAGGATCATGCTTTCCATTAAAAGAGGATTTATTAGAAGGTAGAAAAATTAGTTTTTTCCTCCTCAAAGTTATCGGACAGTCAGTGACACCTGGATCCTGCCATTCAATAACTATTTAGTGTCTAATCATAATGTTCAGCAAATGATGCAATTCTGGGCTACTTGACAATACAGGTTCAGATACAGGTCATTTTCTGACCACTCACATTCTAATCTGAAATGTGTTGCTTATATTTGAGCTTCCAGGAAGGACTCCAAATATAAAGGAGCCACAGGGTCTCCACCTGGTATTTTATAGACTTGAGGACACTGTCTTTGCCACTCTTTGCACATCTATGATTGCCCCCTTGGGCTTGGTTCCTGCCTGTAACCCTGGACCCATTTGTGGAAGAGAAGATGCTTAGATTTGGGAGTAAAGAAGCTTTCACAAGTACTCCTTACCAAAGAGCCCTTTGAAAACTTTTCCCTTTGATGTATCCTGGGTTTTGAAAACTTTTATCTACCCATGATTTATTTATTAAATCATTTTCCTAACTTATTAATCATAATATGAAAGCAAATCAGTTGACAGAAAAAGCAGTAAGATAATCTTACTTTTTGAAAGATATGGTTGATGTTTTTGTTACACTGTTTACTTTTCCCAGGTGAATATATCATTTCTATTATGAATTTTGATATATTGGATACAGTTCAGGAACTGTTTCCAGTCCCTCTCCAGTGCTGTGAGGTTATACATTGTAATTATTTGGACCAACTTTGTTTTGTACAGACTCATATTGAAGAATTGACATTCTGACTACATAAATGGGCCATGGCTAGACCATTTACAAATAGAACTCTGATTCCCAATCTGCCATAACCAGTCCAGAAAACCAACCCATTTTCTAGAGCAACCAGTGCAGGAAGGCAGCCTGCTCTAAGTCAGACCACCATCTCTAGTAATAAACCAGGATGCTAAGCAATAACCCCTGTGACAATAGGTTCCAAACAGATAGGATTTAATTAATGATGGCAACTTTAATTTTTGTCCCTGCTTCCAACATAGGACCAAGTGGAGAAAATCAAGTATGCACCCTTGAACAATAACACAGGATACCTTGCTTCTACTTACTCCTCCTGTAGCTTCCCCATGCTGACAGGGTCTGATCAGACCCTCCCTGAAGGCGTCCATGTTTACCGCTACAAAGCTTTTCCACTCTCTTTGCCCTTGAGTCTCCTACAAATTCATGGGCTGGCAGCTCACATCTTCAACATAGGAAGCTCCAAAGAGATATCATCTGCTTCTTCTCATTGGGTGGTCCTTGTTCAGTTCCACAGGGCTGCAAGATGGGACTAATAATAACATCCAACATACAGGTTTATCATAAGGCTCATCTAAAATAGCTCACATTGTTTAGTCCTTTGCTTTCACAGCACTTTACAGGTGCATTTTATTGCTGTGCTCTTTTCACCAGCCCCAGGTTCTCCAAAGAATGCAAGAGTTTCTTCTGCTTGCTTCTCTATTCCTACTCATCCTCCTGCTTCCAGGGGCTGTGGCAGGTTTGCATCCCAGTGTGATTTCAATGAGAATAGCTTCCACATCTGCCCCGAATCCCCAACAAAGTGAGTGTTTTCTTTTTTTTGTTTAATCATTTTTTATTATTTTAATTTTTTTGTTACGTCACACACCAATATACACCTTGACTTAATCAAACAAGTATAAACTCTAACCCACTTCATTTCAATCTCTGGCACTCCCTGCTCCCCACCTGCGGTTCCCTCCCTCCACTCTACTGATCCCTCTTGAATCCTTTTAGAGCTATTTAAATCAGCTTAATTTTAAATGTACATTTTATTAAAATATAACATTTATATTTTCTCATTATTTATATTTATTAAAATTGCTTTATAATAGAACACAGTTTTCTCAAGTTTCTTTATATGTACCATGCTAACTTTCTTAGATATGATCCTGTGGTTTAGTCTCGTCATTTCCCGGCTGAGTCATCCCATGTGTGAACATGTAATGGGTTATGCAGCCCGTTCAGTCATCTGACACCTGGATTTCCTCTTTTTCTTTCACACATACTTTCTATGGCATCCTGATTGAAATTACATTTTGTTAACTAGGATACTTATACATTCACTTTTATAGGTGATTGCATGTTATGATTTACTTTGCCATTCCTCGTTTTATTTTTTACTTCTTTTATTTTCATTCTTTTTAAATACTAATTAAAACTAATACTACGTAGACTATCCTATTTGATTTCAATTTATTACATATGCCATTTTTAGTTTAATAGTTTTACTTTTAAAAACAGAAAGGAAATCATAATAGATAATAATCAACATTAAAAATATTAAAACCAGAGCTCATATGAAATGATAAACTGTAGAATAAACCTCCCCATCCCTCACTGGTCTTCCAGGGCTACTCCCAGATGCACACACTGGACTGTATTGCTAAGGCTCTTCAAGAATTTGTTCTTAACAAATATGAGCATATTCAGATAGAGATATGAGTCATATTTTTCCTGTGTAGGTAAGTTTGCACTGGGTATGGTGCCACATGCTTGTAATCCAAGTGACTTGGGAGACCAAGGCAGGAGGATCACATGTTCAAAGTCAACCTCAGCAATTTAGCAAGGCCTTAATAAGCAACTTATTGTGACACTGTCTCAAAAAATAAAAAGTGTTGAAAATGTGGCTCAGTGGTTGAACCTCTCTGGGTTCAAATCTGTGCACAAAAAAAAAATTACACTTATTTCTCAACTTCTTGAAGATCTTAGAAAATAGATAAAAGTCATTAATAGCCAATTTATAGAAAAAATATGAATTATTTTAAACATGTAAAACTACGTTCAAATTGGATTAAATTTATCTAATTCAATTAAAATACACAATTGAAAACTTTAATCAAATTGTCATATATCAAAACTGTCTTTGAAGCACAGTTTTTGAGAATATGGATGAACAAATATTCTCATAGATTCTAGGCAGTAGTTTATCTTGGATGGCATTTTGTCAATAACTCTGAAGATCAACATTTTAAATATGTGTTTTAAATATGTATGTAACAGTCTAATTCCTAGGAACTCACTTAGATATATTTAAAAGTTTTTCTTGTATAATTATTTGTCATAGGAAGTATTTGGTAACAACCTGAAGAACCTAAAGAACATTGAGCACATCACCCTGAATATATCTTTTTAAGGGAATATTACACAGAAAAGGGAAAACTGAAAATAAATAGAAAATGAGAAAGTGAGTGTTTTCTGAGAACAGAGAAAACTTGTTTCTGATTTTCTACAGGC